ATGTAGGCTTGATAGAAAAAAAGCTTCCTTATAGAGAACTAAGTCAAATTTATAAGACTACATGTCATTCCCCAATTGATAAATGGTCAACGGATATGAACAGGCAGTTTTCAGATGAAGAAATTAAAGTTATCTATAGTCATATAAAAATGCTCTAAATCACTATTGATTAGAGAAAAGCAAATCAAAACAACACTGAGGTACCATATCACACCTATCAGATTGGCCAACATGACAAAACAGAAAAATGATAAATATTGGAGAAGATGTGGGAAAATTGGAACACTAATGCATTGTTGGTGGAGTTGTGAAATGATCCAACCATTTTGGAGAGCAATTTGGGCCTATACCCAAAGGGCTATAAAAATGTGCATAGCCTTTGACCCATCAATACCATTTCTAGGGTTGTATGCCAAAGAGATCATACAAATGGGAAAAGGACTCACATGTACAAAAATATTTATAGCAGCTCTTTCTGCGGTGGCAAAGAATTGGAAATTGAGGGGATGCCCATCATCCCCATCTGCTTTTTTTTTCTTCTGTTGTGTTTTGTTTCCTCTTTCTGGTGGTTCCTCCTATTGGTTCTAATTCTTCCTTACAACATCACTAATGTAAAAATATGTTTAATAGGAATGTACATGCACAGCCTATATCAGATTGCATGATGTCTTGGGGAAGGAGGGGGAGAGAAATTTAAAACTCAAAACCATATGGAAGTGATTGTTGTTGAAAACTAAAAATAATTAATAAAAGAAAAAAGAAAAGAATTTCCAAAAAGAGTTTGGAAATGGAATGATTTCCCCCTAATTGGAGGTCTTCAAGCAAAGACTCTAAGAGTTATATCATACTCGTAGGTTTCTTATAGTGGGGATTCCTTTTGAGTATGGGTAGGATTGGAAAGCTACTGAAGTCCTTACTGACTTTAAAATTCTATGTTTCTACCCTTTGAGCCAGCAATACCACTACTAGGTCTGTGTCCCAAAGAGATCAAAGAAAAAGAAAAAGGACCTATATGTACAAAAATATTTATAGCAGCTCTTTTTGTGGTGGCAAAGAATTGGAAACTGAGGGGATGCCAATGGCTGAACAAGTTATGGTATATGATTGTGATGGAATACTATCGTGCTATAAGATAATGAGCAAGATGCTTTCAGAAAAACCTGGAAAACTTACATGAACTGATACAAAGCGAAAATAGCAGAATCATGAGAACATTGTGTATAGTAACAGCAATGTTTTACGACCATCAACTGTGAATGACTTAGCTATTCTCAGCAATACAATGATCCAAAACAATTCCAAAGGATTTATGATAAAAAAATTTTATCCATCTCCAAAGAAAGAACTGATGGCATGTGAATACAGATTGAGGGATACTTTTGAAATTTTGTGGGGTTTTTGTCTGTTATTTTCTTTTGCAACATGGCTGATATGGGAATGTTTTGCATGACTACATATATATATATATATAATCTATATCAAATTGCTTGGAGGGGTGAGGAGGGAGGAAGAGAATTTGGAACTCAAAATTCTAAAAAAAAAAGAATGTTAAACACTTTCTTTACATGAAATTGAGAAAAACTGAAAAAAATTATATGCTTCTATGACAGAATCTGCTCTCAAACTGTTTGTCTCCTTTGTGGGATCATCAGCCAAATACTGCTACCTATTTGGAGATGTATCCCAGGGCTGCCTCGAACCCTCTTCTTTCCTTCCCTCTACTCTGTGATCTCATCAGTTCCCATGGATTCAACTATTATTTCTATGAAAATAACTTCCAAATCTCCACAGCCAACTCTCATTTCTCTCCTGAGCTCTAGGCACTTATTACCTGTTGCCCACAACCAGATTGTACACCGAACGGAGAGGCGTGAAATAACTTATGACATGGGCCAGGAGGAGTAGAATTACTGACTCAGTTTATTCATCTGAGGGCACAGAATATATAGGGAAAATCTAGCCTAACTTCAAAGAGTCCTCCCCGTGAGATACTCCCCTGAACATCTGCTGAGGATGTAACAATCATGAATTTCCTCCTTATCAGGGTTCCTAGATTGGGCTGTAGACTCCAAGGTTTTCCCAGGCACCTAGGCGCCACCTGCATTGAGGAGTAAATACGTAAATCTAAGGTTCAAAGAGAGAGAAGGGATATCTCAGAGACCTCTTTATCAGGAAGGAATTTGGGGAGCTGTACCACTTAATCCTTTGAGCCATTTGGGGTGAAAGCCTGAGCAGAGGTCAAACTCTGCCTTGGATCTTAAACCCTTATCAGACTCTTAAGATCGGCCCTCAACAATTACCAACTGCCCACTCAACATCTCTGCTTGGCTGTCCCATAGGCTTACAAAACTCAATGTGGTCCAGACCAAAATTAGCTTTCCTTCAAAGTCTCCCTCCTGTTTCCCTCTTTCTACTGATAGCGCCACCATCCTTCCAGTCACCCAGGTCACATATCCAGAGCCACCCTCACTTCCACTGTCTCCCTCATCCACTACATCCAATCACTCATCAAATCTCATTGATTCTACTCCCACAACATCGCTAGCATCTCCCCTCTCCATTTACATATCCACTACTCTAATTAAGACCTCCATCACCTCTTGCTTGGACTATTACAATTGCCTCCTAATTGTTCTCCTGGCTGTCCTTCCCCTTTCCAATCCATCTTCCATACTGCTGCCAAAGTGATATTCCTAAAATACAGGGCATGTCACTGCCCTGCCCAAACAGCTGTAGTGACTCCCTCTTGCCTCCATAATAAATCAATGCATTATGCATCTATGATCATATATTTAAAGCTAGATTTAACTCTTCTGTTTGGCATTTAGAACCTTTTACAATCTGACTTCAGCCTCCCTTCCATATATATTCTTCCCCTTCATGTACTAAACTGATCTACTCGCTGTTTCTCACCTAGGCCACTTCATCTGCTATCCCTGTATCCTCACACAGGTCTACAACAACTTCAACTCTTACAATCTCTAGCTTTCTTCAAGGCTTAGACTCAGCACACCTTATGTACAAGGTCCTTCCCGATCTTTCCAGCTGTTTACCTGATCTTTGTTTTTACTTATGCAGCCACCATTCCAGGGGACCAATCCATGAGCCTCCTGATGGGCAGCCAAGCTAAGAGAGCTAATGAAGATGGATGCCATCCCTGGTAGAAGAGGTAGTGGCTTTCCCCTGGGGTTCCTTTCTTGGCTATAGTCTTGCACATGACAGAATGAGAGAGGTGATGGTGGCAGTGGCTGATGCTCTGTGTGGAATGGGGACTCAACTAGCTGGACTCATAATGGGGTCTTTGCTGCCTTTGTCTTTTCTGTGTGTTTCCCTCCTTTAACATCAACCATGTGATTACTGAAAAGCTTGAAGAGATTGTAGCAATAGCAGCTGTTTCCCTGGCACCTGAGCAGCAGTGGAGAGAGTACCTAATTAGTTGCCAGAGTGGGCTAGTGCCAAGGCAATAGTCAGAATTAGACAGAGACCTTTGAAAGCCTCAAGTAAGGCTGAAATGTAAAATGTGGCTAATTAGCAGTTTTGCAAAACTGTTTCATATCCCAAAGCTTGAATATTAGCTTCTCAATTGATGATGCCAGTAGTAAAAAAAAAAAAAGTTAAGCTACTGAATTTTGTTGTAATCATTCTATAGTGTACGCTACGATCCTTTTATGCTTAAGCATTACCTTTTCAGCATATGAACAAATGACTTGTTTCATATATGATTCATGTTTGTACCCTGGTTGTCTTTTTTTGTTTCTCCTTTTTTTTGGGGAAAACCTAGAGCCAAAATCAGTAACTTTTCCTGAAGTAGCCAGAATAGGGATAAAAGCCAATGGATGTGAGATTAGGGAGCTTACTTCCCCTGTTGAAGTCATGATTGCCCTAGCAATAAATTCAGTATACAACCCTTTGGCTGGTTACATATCAGGGAATGGTGCAGGTGGCCAGCCTGGTGACCTGAAGCTGACTGATTGCATCTATATATTTTTTTTTTCCTGAATAAACTTGCAGTTCCTTGAGGGCAAGGATCCTTTCACTTTTGTCTTTTTAAACCTATTTCCCGGCACAGTGCCTAGCCGTAGGCCCTTGAATAAATGAAAGTGATTGAATCATCCTTTTCAGGAATGGTAGAATTGATTCGATTACTATTTCCCAGAGTTAGAAAGGTAGAAACTGGGAGTGGTGGGGTAAATGAGGGGGAAGGTAGAGTACAGGATCAGCTTAATAAATACTTATTGATTGAAACTGATAAACTAAATTCCTTCTTACATCGGAACCAAAGTTAGCACTGACCTCAGGAAACACTGTAGATTTCACTAAGATTAAGAACAGGCCATGAACAACTCTGGAGGTAGTCTTTGTAATGTTTTTCTTACTGATTCAACTGTCATGTCTCATTTACTGTTAACCCAATGTTAGCGTATTATTTATTTTTTGTCACTATTCAATTGTTATGTCTCATTTACTGCTAAACCAATGTTAGCGTACTATTCATTTTTTGTCACTGATTGGATAAAACCATATTGAAGTGTTGCTTTTTCACTGTTTATTTTCAAAACTGAAATGCCTCTCTCAGTGATGTGAATATTATGGTTTGGTGTTTTTGTTTTGTTTTGTTTTGTTTTTAGCTCAGGTTCTATTAGGTGTTTAAAGAGGTGACCACTTTCTTCTTTCTTATAATAAGAGATAGCTATTCCATGCTATAATCCCTCCCTTCCCTTTGGAGGGAACCAAAGGATTCCTTCCACTTTCCTTTTTACTTAACTCTACTTGATGTGAGGAATGGAAATTGAAAAGGATTGTTATTAATAGATGAGGGTAGAACTAGCATCAAGCCAGAAAAACCCAGGTAAAATGAAAGGCATGTGGAACTTGGACCAACTTATTTTTAAAACCTCTAAACATGTGACATCCAGGCAAAATCTTGGGTTAATCCAGCTCCTCTACACGTTCTTTTTAACTCAATCCCCCTTTCTCATTTTGTGCTTCCCATAGGTTGGGATACTGAATCCAAGATGGGATGTGTGGGAAGCAGATGATAGCACCTTATACATAGGCATTTCAAGGGTCCCTGCCTTTTCTTACCTTGATCCAAAAAACCTCTGACAGATAAAAACAATCCCTTCTTTTTACTGAAAAGAAACAGATGCGATTGTTTCATTTTGTTTCCTGATCACATGACTGGAAGTGGGTGTGGATTGTATGCATTTAATATGATACAAAATAGAATTTTACAAATAGTGTTGAGAAACCAATATTCACAAAATAATGTTGATGAATCTCTGTCTGAGGCTTTAATCTTCATTTTTTTCCTTTCTCTTCTTTTTTTCCTATTATTTCATTCCTAGGACCAAAAAAAGATTTTTAAAAACACACTATTTCTTTTGGTCTCTAAGGGAATATTGCCTCTCCCTTTTCTGGTTATGTCACGTATGTGGAAACTCACTGAATGTACCCATTATTAAGAATTTACCTTCCCTCTTTGTTGAAAATTTCATCCTCATCAGAGGAGTCCTGGTCACGTAGCTTTTGAGCCATGTTCTTTTTTCGTGTGGCATCTAGTGGCTGATACATATCCCTAAGCCAGAGAGGTTTTCTTTTTCTGTAAAAATTCCCATCCTAGAAGATACAACAGAATTCATTTTGTATAGGGTTTTCCTTGCTGGTGGCCCTTGCTAGGTCAATAAATACTCGTTTACCTCTTTATGACTTTTTCCGGAGGATTTCTTGTGCAAAGATGTTATAAAATTCCTTGAAAAAGCACAAAATGGTTAGCTAGTCATATAATCTTTTAGTAATTCAGTTTTGCAACTTATTGATCAAAGGGGTGCTGAAGTTTCACTACCTACAAGATAACATCGTCCACTTGACAGCAGGATCATGAAAACAAGTGCAATGCAAGGAGGTGGCCTGGAGCATCGGTCACTTGCTTTTTGGTCTGGGACCTCCTGATTGTTCCCAAGGTAGCCCTTAGATGGTCCCTTTTTCAGACTGGGCTTAACCTAGGCCAAGTTGGATCTCCCACAGATATTGTAGAACAGTTCTTGTTAAACAAAATATACAAACACGCTCAGATCTCCCCTACGTTAAACAAAATCCTATCCAAATTGCATCTTTAGTGCTCCCGCCAACTTTCTGGGGTGGGAAGCAGAATGCCATTTACTTAGCTACTTTTATCAGTTCACAATCAAGCAGATGCTGAGATCCAGTGAGCAACAATTTCCATGATAATGTTTGGCATTAACAAAGGGAACCAGAAAGAGCACCCATGGTGGAGTCCCCTCATCTGGGTTCTTATTTCAGCTCTGCTACTAATTAGCTGCTTAACTTGGGGGGAGTTACTTAACCCTTTCTGTAGCTCAGTTTCTTCATCTGTGAAACGAAGGGGTCAAACTAGATGATCTTTTCAAGCTCCAACGTTCTATAATTCTAACCAAGTCTTGGGAATGAAAGAGCAGGGAATTAAAGCTGAAGGATGAGATTGGCTTACCTTTTATTAGGTTGAACCTAGGCCAGGAAGGCTCCTCTCTCATCTTTGGCCTGGTTGGCTTTTGTTGGAACAGCCTCAGCTTATGGCTCTATTCGATGTACTTCCCCCCACTCCCCTCTTTAAGGCCCAAATTCTATCCCCTTCAGACACACTGAAGTCCAGGTCTCTGTAAGGGTGTGGCTGGGGTGGGGGTTGGGGGTGTGTGTGGAGGTGTGATTTTTTTTTTAAAGCACTGAGGGAGGGTAGATTCTTTAATGATAATAAGACTGATTTAAAATTAACTCAGTTTTGACTGATTTTGCTAGAGCAAAACACAATATCAAAATGAATGTATGAACATCTATTTCTTGTTGTCAAATTCCGAGAAGTGGAGGGGAGCAAGAGCAGACCCTGACAGTAAAGTGGCTGTGAGTTTCTCTCGTGGGAGGCAGAGGATCACTACCAATCTTTCAGGCCTAACAGGCCCGTTAGACCGCCAAACGATGTTTTGCCTTTTTTTTCCTTTCTGGCACCCAAGAACAGACGAAGAAGCAGAAACTGAACTGGGGACTTGGAAAGGCAAATGGGACCTTTCTCCTGGTAGGTTATAAGTAATAAGTAGCAATACAGTCAGTAGACCTAGGTCTTATCCCCAATTTTGAAACTAGTTTGATGTGTATTTGTAGACAAGTAATTTCTCTAGCTGGGCCTTGATGTGCTAATCAGTAAAGAGAGAAGAGGCTGAGGAGACTATTTTCCAGCTTTAGCATTCTATTAAAAATATTGACAGAAATCACATAATCATCTTCCAAAGCAGATAGTGATATTTACCGTAAGTTGTGTAAATATTTTATTTCACCTTTTGAAGTTCTTGGTCTATGGGAACAAATCTGTTTTGGAAGAAAATACCATTATCAATTTTTATTTCATTTTTAATAAGTATTTGTCAAATTGAATAAACATTCATTTCTGACTGAATGATTTATCAAATGCCTCCTGAGAGCGTGTCAATTTGTGTGCCTGTAACTGGAGATGGGCAGTCCTTGCCCTCTCTGAACTTCCATTCTCTTTTTAAGAACAGCACAGTGAAAACAATGCTAGGTTTGAATCCAGATCCAGACAGAGGTTGAGTGACCCTCTACAAGTCAATTGCCCTCACTAAGCCTCAGTTTCCTTACTACTACAATGGAAATAATACTAATACTTGTATCACCTACCTCACAGTCTTGTTGCAAGGAAACTAAAGCATATACCTATTATTTCCCTTTTTTTGTGTGTGTTTAATAGCCACTTAAGTGACTAAAAAAAGTTTTATAGTGGCCTCTTGTTTTAAATGCCGCAGTTATTTCCCCTTACCTTAACCTACTTCTTCTCTTCTGCTCTATTCTCCTTGTACCCTTCCTCATAACAAGGAAAAACATCCATTTTCCAAAAGCATAATTTCTGCTTCTCTCTTGACAGGAGGTAGGTGTGTTTCCTTGTTAGTTCTCAGGAGAAAGATTGCGCATTCCAATTCATTGGAATTCAAATGCTTTTTCAGTTAAAACAACTCTCCAAAGGAAAAAAAAAAGGAAAGAACCTAACAAAGATTAACTATTGTATGAACACTTTCCTTTGCTCTAAGAATGGGACAAATTTAGAGCGCTAAATTTTAGAGGGAGCAAAAATGATTTTTAAAGTGTGCAATTTAAAAATTATTTAAATTATATTTTGACAGTATTTATAGTAACCTAGCAGCACGGAAACAACGAGCTTAAAGAGTCAGTGAGAATAATTCATTAACACTCAAAGTTGCTAGACACTGATTGCCTGACAATAGTCTTTAGGTGTTTTAGGGCTGGTGTTTCAAAGTCTCTATTCTCCCTCCCCACAAGGCCAATGTTAAGGGCTCCTTGGCAGACATTATCCTGGGGTCTTCCCCCATGGGCCTTGCACCTCCATAAAGACATCCTTTCCTGTTCAAATGAATCAGCCTTGATTGTTTCTTGTGTTATATTCATATAGCAAACAGATTTGGTGGCATAAGATAATTTAGAGGTTAGAAGGGACACTTGAAGTCAACTCTTCATTTTACAGTTTTGGAAGCTGAGGCCCAGAGAGGTTAATTGCTTAAGATTACACAAATAGGAAGTGGCACCAGTGCTCTTATTCCAAATCCAGCGGGCATCAATACTTCTAGTTACCTTTCTACCTTATTTCATAATAGATATTTGTTCAATGTATTTTAATTACCTCATATCCTTTTCATAAATTCCGTGACCCTTTCAAAATTTACCAATCCATGAAAGCTCTCCTGATTTCCTTTGTCTCTCTTTGCAGCTTAAGCCACTTCCAACAATGGTCTCACTAGCAATTTAGGATTCCTCAGCACCTTAATCTTCCACCCTAATAATTCTCAGACCATGGGAAACGTCCACAATTCAAATTTCTTGCCTCTGCTCCATGCAGGTTGTTAGCATAGGAGCTCTTGAGACCAGTACAAATTTTCTTCATAAAACTTCAGCTACACTATTATTCATTGCATGATAATCCTTTTATTCTTCTCATTTATCCTCCCGATTATTATCTATGTTTCATTTCACACAGTGTCATTACAAATACTTTCCATTCTGTTCAAATTTTTGACCCAACCCCATCCCCTTTTGTGTCTTTTTACTAAGATCAAATCTGACAGTGAACTGCCTTAACTCTCCACCTTCATGTGCCAATTTTCTCATCTTTTCCCCCTAGTCTCTTCTCCCCTTCAGAGGAAAGTGTGGATCACCTTCCTGTCAAGACTAACCCCTTCTCCCCTCCCCAATTTCCTTGATCCTATCTCCCGCCTCCGCCAAGACCTTGTTCTATCAATCACTTACCGGGTTTCACATCTTCAGTCTCTCTTTCTTCCTACAGCTGCTTTCCCTCTGAACACAGACATGCTAAGATCTCCCCTACGTTAAGACCTGCCCGGTCACACCCTTCAGCTAGTCCTGCTTCCTCTCTCTTATTGCCAGACTACTAAACAGAATCGTCTAAAATTCCTGCTTTCATTTCTTTACCAATCACTCACTCTTAAAACTTCTTATAATCTGACTTAACCTTCTCTTAACTACTCTTGAGCCCTCTCTGGAACTCTATTGAAATGACTCTCTTCAAGGTAAAGAATTACTTTCCAACTTCCAGATCCAGTGGCCAATCCTGATTGTTCTTGACCTTTCTATGGCATCTGGCATCTGACTACTCTTTTTTCATCATCTCGCCTTTCTTGTTTAACCACCAGAGACAATGCTGACCACATGTAGGATTCTGTGCTATAATTAGAACCAAGCACTAACCATTAAGTGCTAACTCCAGCTTTTAAGAACTTCCCTTAACACCAGAGGGATATCTTTCTAGTTCTCTACAGTCCTCAGAGAGCTAGCTACAGCTACCCCTTTAGCTTTTGTAGGTGGTTGCACTCTCTTGTTAGTGTAGAAAGTGTGTGTGTGTGTGTGTGTGTGTGTGTGTGTGTGTGTGTAGAAATACGCACAGGTACTTTTGGCACTCTTACCCCATGTCCCCTCCTCTGTATTTGCAACTCAAATTTTGTGTGCTCACCTCATCTTTTGTCACTCCTGACACATTAGGCACACTCAGTTCCTTATCTCTAACTCCCAATATTCTCTTCTTGTACTCTGTAAGGGAAACTGAGGAGGATAGAGCCTCCCTAGCCCCCTGTGTAACCATCTCATGACCTGACGGTGTAACTGCCTCATGACCTGACATAAAGATAGATGGGAGTTACCAATGCATGGCCGGAGGTGACTATGGAAATGGAACATTAAATAACCAACAAACTATGTTACCTGGGAAAGCAATTCATCTCAAGGAACATTTTTCTTGAGAAAGGTGTGTAACTGTCCAAGGAACTGATCACTCCTTGGAGACTTACACAAGAACAGGTATTTTGGGGTTCTGATCAAGCCCCAACCTTTGTTAAAGGTGTGTGCATGCCTGGATATGAGCTCACCAAGAATATGTACACAAAACAAAATATCAAGATTGTCTTTCTCTGGTTTACATAGATATAAAATGGATTATTTGGAAAGAGATTTTTGGAGTACTTTGATGTCAGAGATAGGGACACCGAATCTCTATTGTGTTCAGAAGCAGAATGCGTGCATGACTTCTGCTGAGTCCGAGCAGGATGCTGCTCTGTTGCCTCTCTGACCGGACCTTTTGGCCATTCTTCAATCTCCTCGGTCTATTAGATATTTGAGCTCGCCTAGTCAGTGAGTGTGTATCCTTTCTTTTCTTATTCCCTCTTTTCTTTATTTTGATTATTACTTACCATATTGAATGTTTTTCTCATCTTCATGTGTGTGTGTTTTGCCTTAATCATTATTAATCATTGTAAAATGTGATTATTTCTTAAGATTACACTACGTACGTGTCATTATATCTTGAGATCCGAACCTAAATTGAAACTACACAGTAAGTAATCCTTTCAATTACATATGCATAGCTTAACCATGTCCCAGAGGGAAGAAGGGGGCTGCAAGAGTGAGAGGGGCTAGACTAGACTTTCATGACACTGTGTACTCTTCTTGTCATCCTATTTCCTACCTCCTCTTTCCTACCTCCTACTTGAATGTTCCTCATTCTCCTTGGATGGAACCTTTTTTCCTCTTACTATCCCCATAATGTAGACTCAACTTTTTAGACTCAGAACTCCTTTAAACTCTTAGAAATTATCAAGGCCCCTCCCAGAGAGCTTTTGTTTATGTGGGTTTTATCTCTTACTATTTACTGTATTAGAAATTGACAAATATCTTAGTATTATTACAAAAATAGTTTTAACCTCATGGACTCCCTGAAAAGGTCTTGGGGACCCCCAGGGATCCCTGGACCACACACTGGGAACTACTGATATAGACAATCCTTAGGGCTCTGTCCATGTTTTTCTTCTCCTTTATACAATCTCACCCACTACCATGGCTTTGACTATCACCTTTACATGGAGATCACCAAATCTGTCATTATCCATTTCCACCATCTCTTTGGAACTCCAAAGCTGTGTTTCCAACTGATTATGCAGAGCAACTGACTATACAGGGCAACTAACTATACAGGGCATCTCCACTTAGATGCGCAACCAAAACTTTAAATTTAACATGTCCAAAATTGGACTCACCCTTCTCTCTCAAATATGCTCCTCTTCCTGCCTTTCCTATTTCTGTTAATAATTTTCTCAGCCACAAACATTCCAAATCTTGGTGTCATCTTTGATTATTCTCTACATCTAATCCATCACACTAGTTCCTGTTAATTTTACTTCTGCAATACTTCTTGCATCTGTCCCCTCATCTTAATTCCTGCTGCTCCCACCCTAGCTTGAGCCTCCATCCTGTCTCATGTAGACTTCTGTATCAGATTTCTAAACAGGTGTTCTAATGGCCAGCCAGTCTCTCTCTTTCCCTTTCATCCTATATGCTTTTGCCAGGTTTATCTTATCATGAGGTGATGAATGTTTTTGGCCACAAGAAACTAAGATATATTATCTATCTTAATGGAAGAAGTACACTGATCAATTCATTAAGTTTTTGAAAAATTCAAGTATTCTATCATGTTAACATATTTTGTGGTGGTTTAGCCATTCTTTTATTGTTGGGTTGTTTTACCATTATAAATAAGCTTATAAGTCAGTCAGCCAGTCATTATGTCCTTATTACATACTAGACACTGTGCTAAGTGCTGAGAATACAAAGAAAAATAAAACCATAGTCCCTATTGTAAGAAACTCTTATTCTAATGTGGGAGACAAGATACAAACAATAATGTACATACAAAACAGATATGCTGTAAATGGGAGGTGATCTCAGAGGGAAGGCTCTGGGGACTGGGTGGAGTAAGTAGAGGGCCTTTTGCAAAA